CTTCAGCAATCAGAGGGAGCAAATGTAGTAATTAAGTATTTTCAAAAAAGTTTCAAAGTGAGTTGGCCAAGTGAATTACCAAACTTAAAAAACATGTCAGGATCAACAGGCAGTTGTGCATTCTCCTCTATACAGTCTTGCACTGTAAATAAAGCACTGCCCTAATGGTAACATTTTCCATAACAGGAGAAAGAAACTACTTTTGTTTAAACTCTTTTTCATTATATCAATGATTTTTATAAAGGGCACAGTCTTGCCTTGCTTTTCAAGGATTTTAATGGTGGAAGCATGGACTCATTTTTGTAAGCTGTTCACAACTTTTTCCTTAGAGACATCCCTCACAATAGACAGTCAGATTTTAACATGATATATTTCATTGCCATATCTCAAAGTATTTTGACAAAATGCCTAAATGTTACGTTGTCAGCATAGCAGGAACAACAATAGTGGCACAGAAATTACTTGAAGTAAAATTCAATTAAGAGAGAAAACTGGAAGTAGAATTCAGACCCAACATAACTCTCATCAGCTATCTGAGGGTTAAGACTTAAAGGACTTGCACTGATCTTATTTTTTCTGTAAATTTCAATTTTCACCTGGAAATGCTGGCCATATTTCCTGCATATTCCATTCTACTTCATGAGTTGTCATGAGAACTCAGGCTTCTCAGGTTAAACCAAATATTGATATTACCCACTAAATTGTAATTCTGGGAGTGGTAACTATTGAAATCCCTTCTCAGTCCTACTCACACCACAATTCCACCTATTAGAATGCACAGTGAAATTCTGAGGGAGTCTCCTGAAGTTTCCATCACTAATAATTTATATTTCTCATTTAGCCTACTTCAGTTGAGCATTTCAATATCTATCCATATGAATACCACTTTGTAATTAAGTTTTCAACAGATCCAAGAGTCATTTACACATCTATGAAATAGCCACATTTTTCTGAGACAATTCTGTGATAAAAACAGAAAGTTACTCCCCAGTGAAAACCAGCTGCAGGTTTCAACTGCTTAACCTGATAGCAGAATTAGTCTGCTGAGTAAGCAGAGTCCTCTCAAAAGGCAAAAAATAAATAAAAATACCGTAGAAGAATTTTTCACCATTTGTTTGAGAAAAAGCATGAATGCACATACCAGGATTCTTGCTTAGAAAGAAAAAGAAGTGGAGAATAAATTCTATCTGGAACAGAGAAAAAAGTTTCAAAAGACTCTTCAAAGAGTCTCTCAACTAATCCCAAGGGAGGTTCAAGAAGTGGGAGGTGAATATGGGGAGTAAAAATGAAATCTTTAATTGAACTCCTCAAGCTCTGTGTATGCATGGGCATGTTACATGTGTCTTACTGCTAGAATTATTTCTCACTCCTTGATGGGTGTTGCTGTATTGCACAGTTCAAGTTCCCTTCCAAAACAGAGACTCAAAAAATTAATGGAGAAAAAACCAGGAGAGATAGACATTTGGTTGAAATAATTGCCGGAGCTCTCAGTCCCTCTTCACTGACTCGGCAGCCCACAAGAATTTGCTCTCCATGTTGGAAGTAAGCCTTTGGTAACACCCTCACACAAGGAACCATGCCAAAATTCATCCAGTGACAGGAGCATAACCTACAAAGGACTAGAGAAACTTAAAGCTCAGGATGTTCATACTGAAGCACAGTAGATAGGCAGAATGCACAATACAAGGTTCAGTGACAACAATAAATAAAAGAAAATAATTTTAGAAACAGTCTTTCATAATCCTGATACCTCTTTTTTTTTGTTCTGGCTGACCTGTAATCTCATTATGGATTGAGATAGTAACATGGTTTGAAAATTTGCTGCATAAAATTGTCTTTCAATCACTTTGTGTTGCATTAAGGAAATTGTTCCTTTGATGGTTATGGTGGTGGTGAAACCTGAAGAGCACTCTTTTTGCTACTAAGCAGTAGTATAGTAAATAATGGAATAAAACAAAATTAAATTCCTTGATATTTCAGCAGTTCTGAATGCCTCTGTACCTCTTTAAAGTCCCTTAGTTTTAACAGCAAGTCTCACAATCTTTCATGGAATTACAGCACATAATGTGTGAAAGTTATATATATAGATGTATGTGTATGTGTAGATATAGAGATACATATTTACATATTAAAATGGAAGGGACCGGAAAATGGCACACATCTGATAAACATAGAAAGAGTAGTATGTAGTTCGCAACTGGGGGAAAAATAGTAATTAAGTAGAAACAGATTGTGGAGGGAAGGAACTCTTACCTCAGGAGATAATCTGCCCTACTTTCTTTTCTCACATTTTGAAATCTATGAATCTTTTACTTTACTTTATCACTTTGCTGATTCCCTGCAGGCCAGAGCTGACAGCTAAGCCTCTGTTTTATCTTAAACTGTTCAAAGTGTGTTGGAAAATGACCTACCCTACTGAGTCTGAAAGTGGAAGGAGTCCACCTACTGGTTACCCCCAGTCCGGGTGATCACCGTTGCTTGAGTGAAATCGTAATGATAGTCCCAGAACAGCTGGCAGATTGTTACAATATATGGTCTTTTACTGCTTCCAGTTGAAAACCAGAAACAGAGTTGACATTTTTTTGTTGTCTCTAGAAGTAATTATTTCTGTCTTGAGCCACTCTGATATCAGCACATAAGGATAGTTTCATCCTGTGTTATTCACAGTTGTTTTGTATTTGACAAGGTCAAGTCTGTTTATTCTGTGGGCTCTCTTCACTGCCTTTGAATATAACCTTACAAATCCTTTCTATTTTTATTCCATTGTGCTTCTAAGAATTAGACTTAAAATACTGTGTTGTCACTACACTTTGGCATGATAAAATGCAGGGATAAGGTGAGTGTGGCCACATTCATGTCTTTAAAAATAGGATTCTACTGGAATTTCTACAGTCATTTTATTGCAGTAGGCTTTATCTTGTGGCAAAAATTGATATATCTCAAACAGTTCTCTGTGACCAAGCAAAATAAAGCAGAATAGGAATTGCAGACTCTTTATGTTCATAAACAGTCTGCAATAATATGCTGGTGTATATTGTTGCAGCTGAAATAATATGCTGGTGTATTGCATTTCATCTTCAAATTTTTACAATGTATATTATTATCAGAAGTGGCATGTAAGCAACTGGTATATGAGATTGTTAGGTTAAAATTCATCTGATTCATGACACCTGAACCTGCATTTTTCCAGTCTCCAGAGGAAGCTGTAACACTATTCTTCACTGGTGTAAGTTCTCGTGAGATAATTGTTTCTTTTTGGATAACTGAGAAAAAAAACCACTAATGCTAGGCACAGCTCCTTTTATTGTCACAAGTAATCTTTTGATTTTGTGCTGGTGAAAGTATTTGCATGGAATTTGTTGTTATGTCCTGTTAACTAGTAACGAGCAGGTTTGAAGGTAAAAGAAAACTTGTGAATCCATGAAGATCTGGAGAACTCACCCAGAATGAGTCTTTCAATTCTCCATACTATTCTGAGATCACAAGAAGTGGAGATATATATTGACATTAGCTGCACTCAACAGAAAATTCCTTTTTATTTTTGTACAGTGAAACATTTTCCTAAGTCTCTTCAAAAACATCAGGGATACCATTTTGGATCTTTTCTTGCCATGGTGGCATACTGGCTTTACTATCAAGCCTTCAGCTCTAGCCCTGTTAGCAAGTATTCTCTATAACTTCAGTAGTTTTATTTTTCTTAAAATTTGATTGTGTTGTTGGCACAGCTTGACTCACTATACTGTGTACACAAGAGCAGTGGTCTCCAATTTACACTAGCAGATCATGCAACAGAGATGTACTAGCTTGAAATGTATACCTTGAATTAGGAAACAAATGCCAATTATATGGTCTTTTTGAGCCATTTTAGGTGCATAGAAATTTAACATCAGTTGTGTTACTTGCTGTAATGTCTTTACTCTTATTATGCCCACTCTTGGTCAATTTATGTGCCTACTCACTTCTGAATTTTTGGAATTTTTGAATCCCATGAACCCTTATGATGCTGTGATAGTCACTACAGTAAATGGGGAGGATGGGACTGAAAATATATTGGATAAACAGGCCTTATTGCCTCCTTACTAAATAAACATTGCATTGCAGAAGTTACAATCTGAAGACATGTTTCAGACATCAGAAATATGGTGAGAAACATGAACAGGATTGCCTTAGGGAGGTTGTGCACAAACCACTGTTGAGTTAGTTAGTTAGTTAAGTAACTTTATCACATATTGTAAAAAACATTAAAAAAAACAGAAGGACAATTGAGTTCTTTTATGTGTCTCTCATAAGATCACTGTTCGTAGAAGTAGTTTCAAAGTAATTCATGGTCCCTGATTACAGCATTGTGGTGGGGCTTGGTCTGTGCCAAGGGCCATCATTTGAAAGGACTCAGTGCCTTCTTAGAGGTCTAGTGCAGGATGGCATCAACAATATTTTGGATGATTTCTCAAAAAGTACAGTATGGTTGCTAACAGTACAGATAGGGGAAAATAAGCAGTTTTCCAAGTGCAAACTATGCAACATGAAAGCTTGGAGTACCTAGGCATACATTTTGATTCAGTCACAGGGTTGTCAGTGCCTTGCTTTTCAAGTATAAAAAAAGGGCCAATAATATTTTATGAAGGCATAGGAAAATAATTTCAGTTTTCTGGGTATTTTGAGCAAATACTGAGGATACTGCTCTCCTTAGGTGGACAGATCTGCCAATGGGCTGCTGAAAGAAATTATGATGAATAAAAATGATAAGCTACAGATCACTGTAAGAGAAAATAACTTCAGCAGATGCAAAATTCTCTATTATCAATATTGTTTGCCTGAATTTGTGGTAGCTGCTGTAATTGTTTCACTGCAGGAAGAGGTATCAGTGACACGGCTAGCAAGGCATAATTTTCAAACAGTTTTGTTTTGTTTCAGTTTGAATTTATATTTTACTGAGTAGAAATATAAAATAAAAATATGTATTTTAAAATATCCGTTTATTTTTCTTTTTTTCCTTACAGCTCGTGGCCAATGCAATCCTTTTTGTCAGTGTAAATTTGTATGGGGTCTTTGTGAGGATTTTGACAGAAAGGGCTCAGAGGAAGGCATTCCTTCAGGCCAGGAACTGCATTGAGGACAGGCTGAGGTTGGAGGATGAAAATGAAAAACAGGTCAGTTTCTAAACTTTATTTATCTTTCTCTGTTTCTCCTGACATGACTGTAGTTATGTGAACTGAAGCTTAGGACATTGCTGGCAAGTGTATGCTAGGGCGTGTGCGCATTTGCATTGTAAAGGAAGCATGCTGCCTTCCCCCGCCTGCTTCAGCTCTTTCTCGAAAGTGCATGCATACTCTTCACTCTTTATCTGCAGTGCTCAGAGAGGTGCAGGCTGACCCCACAGCTATTGTCAGCTCCAGTGCCAGAGAAGCTATATTTTAGGGCTGAGTCAAATCTAACCTACAATTGTAATCTAAGGTCGTGGTTATTTATCTACATAGATGTTTTTGGGTGGGTGCTAGATGTGCTGTAAATACTTTTCTTCTGGCTCTGTGTGTGCATGACACCTATAAAAAAAGCCAACATTTTAGGCACAAGGAGCTGCATTGATAACTGAATAAGTGTAATTGATAACAAGTATATATTATATACATTATATTCTTGTATAACTAATAACAAAATCAACTGTGATAGCAATCTTTTCTCAAAAATGACCTTAGCAATTTGAAGGTTTGTTTCACACAATGTTATCAATCAGGCTTTCAAACAGATTTCAAAACAATGAGAAGAAATGTTATATTGTGGAGCTTGCTGTTGTTCCTCACAGGTCTGAAGCTTAAACCTGCCATGATCTGTTGGTCTGTAAGATTTCATCAAGATTTTTCTTTCGGTAGAGGTGGTAATAAAGGGTCATGCTGGAATATTTAGATTGACCTCCATGGAAAAATGGTTACTTATGCCAATAAAGGACTTAAGTGATATTAAAACCTTGTAATACAAGATGTCAGGGTCCTCAAAACTTCTGTACCTCATACAGTTTTACTTACCTTCACTTGCAATTTCTCTAGCAAGTCTGTTCCTTTGTGTGGAATAACACAGGTCCTTAAGTACTTTCTGTTATGAATTAAGTGCATGAGTTTTTATGACCTGAACATACTCTGTAATAAGTAGATGTCTCTTGGAACAACTGCATATCTTTTCTGGCTGTGTAAAAACGGTATCAGGATCAAAACCTTTAGGTTTAATTCTGTCTTTTGTAGTTCAAAGCTGCAGATTCTTAAAGGCATAAATGTGCCATAAGTGAATTTCCATGGGATTAAGACAAGCCTACCATTCGTGCTGTTGAAAACCTCCTTCTGAGATCCAACTTGAAAACAAAATTGATTTTTGTGTTTCTCTTGTTAGCATGTTAGCAGTCTGTCTTATTTTATATATTATCCATGCATATAGAAACACAAGAAAGTGAAAATATTACACATAAATACCATTATTGTTGATAGTATACCTAAATAATCCTGCAAAGATTCTTCCAATGCAGTTTACAGGTCAGGGAAGAGAATACATTTTTCTCCTACACTTGTGAACTTAACTTTATGCAGCACAGTGTAAAACTTAATACAGTAGTGATATATGCTAATTAGCTGTCAAAAGTGCCACCAACATACTTTCTGTCTGCTCTCACACTACATTAGCATACCTCTAATCCAAAATGCTAAAACCTTTCACTGGTATTTCTGTGCAAGTCTCTAACTGGAAAGGAAAGAACATTCTCCTGGCCTTTGAACATACACAGCTGTCTGAAGTTTAAGTGTTGACTGTGTGAGACAGATACCACAGGTGAAATTGTATGTGAGTTTTCTTCCTCTGTGTCCTACTTACAGTGAATTCTCCTCATGGGATGCATTTGTAGTAATAGTCCCATGTGACAATTTTGATAAATGTGTTTTCACGAGCAGGAGTGAATATGTTGTAGTATTTTTTGGACTCATGCAGGAATTTTCAAGTAGGTTTTGAAAGTGTTGCTGGGGAGAAAGAAAGTCTCTATTTTAAAATTCAGTGTAATGCTCACCCTGTTATCTGTTCTCTGTGGTCACAACGAATAATTGGCCATGGTGGTTGCATCATCCATTAGTTACGTTGCCAAATGTTAGACTGCAATTTCACCTGAAGCGAAGGCAAAGAACCAAATAAGTTTTAGACAATGAGCAAATAATTATAATCATTCACTTGAGACAAGCTTCTTCTTTTGTTATCTATAACTCTCAGTTGCAAGACCATCCTCTGCAAAGCAAACAGTTAGGAATAAATATTGTGAGGTACGTTCTGTTCCTTGGAATTATGCTTGTTTTGTTCCTACTCAGTCAGAGTGCCCGAGCCGTTCCCCTCACTCCCACTACACTCTCTCTGTTTTCACTTTCTCAATTCCAGACCATCCTTTGCCCATACAGCAAGCAAGGCATTGTCACCTATCTCCCTGGAGGACTCCCAGTGTTAGACATCCCAACCAATCCTCCGGGCAGTACTTCAACCCTTCTCAAGTAAGAAAGAGAGAAGCAAGTAGGAATGGGGAATGGGGGATGTGTTCAGCATAGAGAGAGAAGGTGTCTGCTGCTGATTGAGGCTGCTAGCCATCTAACTCGGAGGGGAAACCAATAAGGAAGTTGTGGCTCACCATATATTAATTCCAATCATAGTGGCTCTTGAAGTGGAGCTGTACTCCAAGGAAGTGATACCATTGTACTTCTGAGGCCATCTTAACTTGAAAAGCAATAGGATCACTGTCTTTAAAGACCTGCAGACTCCCATTTTCCCAGTGTCTTTTTCAACGTGTGTATAGTTTTGTTCTCCTCACAGTGTTGTGGTGGTGAATTTCACTCCAATTATGTACTAATTAATACTCTAATTATGCACTGTGTGAAACAGAACTTCCTTTTATTTGTTCTAGACTTATCTGAGGACTTGATTTGTTTTGTGATATGTTACTAGTAATCATCCTACAGTAACCTCTTTCATGCCACTCACAACAGAGACTTCTCTTATAACCCTTCTCATCTCTCTTTCCAAGCTGAAGAACTGTAGCCTATTTGGTCTCTTGATTTTTGGAAGCTATTTCCTACCCCAATCTTGCCAATCTTGTAACAAATCTTACTCACATTCCCCCCACTCTTGCACTGACAATATTTCTATGCACATTCATGCATTGAATTTGGGGATAAAGCATATAATTTCTTGGTGAAGTACACTTGTTGCAGCATAGACTGATGTAAAAAATGCCTGTTGCTTTCATATGAGGAAGGCTGGAAAAATGTTTGACTTCATGTAAACCTTCAAAGCCCACAAAACCAACTTAGATATCTTTACTGGTTAATTGTGTAAGTACATGAAAATATGTTTGCAAAATAAAGACCACCTTTCAAGTCACTTGTTTAGCTCTTTCTTTCTCTCCTAAATGTTACTTTTTTTCTTGCTCACAATTAGAAATGATGGTGGAAAATCCACTGGAGAATAGTAAAGTCTCCAGAATGGGGGATTGGCTATCTTAAAAACTAATTGTGAAATCACGTCTAGTTTTTCAAACCATTGGGACTGGAGAAATGTATTTATTGGTGGCATCAGTCTTTCATGAAATAGTTGTGTCATCCACTATGATGCATGAAATTTAAGTTTATTACAGGATTTATTGTAAGAAACTGAAAGAAGCACTAAAAATGAGGGGAGTTAGGAGCACTGGGCTGAGACAGCCACTCTGTGTCTAGCTTCAGAGACAGAAGCCTGCCACTCCCAACTGATCTAGCCAGCTTTGCTGAGAGGGTGGATTGTTCAACACCATTCTGCTGCAGTAATGGTGGTTCTGGGAGACAGACTAGCACCTTGGTGTTGGTCTGCAGAGCTTCCAGATCATGTGCAGCTAGCTAAATTTTTCTTATGCAATGCTGAATTGTGTGTGCAAATGTCTGCATGCATATGTGTATGCATTCCAAGTATCTTCTGCAATTTAGGGCAATGTCCTTAAGGTTGCATGTAGTAACTGGGTCACCACTGAGTCAGAGATTTGGTTAATAACTATTCACAGAAATGGGAAAAGGTGTCAACAAAAGATACCATGATTCTCAGTGCAGAATACTTTGAACTGCTGCTTAGTATGTCTTGAGTTCAAATTCCCTGCTGGGTTCAGATCCCCCTTCAAAACAATTTAATCTGGACATTACACATTTTGTATATGTGTACTTCCCCCTGTACCTCTGAGTAAAAGGACACCTGCAGAAAACCTCCAGTGGTTTTGTCTGTTATGTTTAATTTCAAGTACTCATGAAGAAAGAGAAAAAATTATGTTATGTTTATGTTATGTTTGAATAAAGCAAACCATGTTGGACTTTTGTTTTGGTAATGGATAACAGTTGGCTGGGGGTTTTATCCTTTCAATTCAGCAACCAAATGAGGAATTTGTTATTTGCACAGCCTTATGCAGAAGTAATTTCTAGAGTGCCTGACAATTATCAATACATAATCAGGTTCTCGTCATGTTTCCCATACTTTTTTTCCTCAGGATCTTGTGTCTTTTTTTTCATTACAGTGCAGAAGAAAATATGAAATTTATCATTAAAACACAGGTCTTGTTTCCATAACCATTCATACTGGCTCAGTGCATCAGCAAATCACCCTGCAGCAAAAATTTCATCAAAAATTTCTGAATCATGTGTGAATGCAAAAGCATGTTCTTGTCAAATTCTCTAGTGTGCAATAGGAAAGTGATCCTGATTTTGCACAAATTGCAGGGTGAAAAATGATACCCGATCCTCTACAAAAGTTAGCCAGTATAATTTTTGAAAACATAGGTACACTAACTAATTTTAGCTGACAGGTACCACATTAGTGCTGTGTTCTATGTTACAAGGAAGGTTAAAAATGGCTTTATTGTGTCATCAAACCACAATCTTACACAGGAAAGTCCATCTTCAAAAATCTATTTGTTCTTTACTACGATCAGGGAAAAGAGAAAATAAGGAGTATTGCAATTTCACGCTGTCTGTTTGAGCTACTGGACTTTAGGCCAACTTATGCAGGCTGGCCAGCAGTGCCTCCTAGCCAAATAGCAGCAGCAGTAGAGATGGAAACTTGTCCTTTTGTCTGCTTTGTTTGCCACATTTGGCTGCTTAGTTCCTTACATGGAACA